CCATATGTGAAGTAGGTTGACTGCAGGCACAGTTTCAAGAGTTGACACAGTTGTTCTGTGGAAAGCGTGGTCCTGCTGCTCAGAGTGGTGTCTGATTTTAATCTTAAACTGACCACCTCTACTGCATCATCAACAGGAATGCACGTAAAGAGTGATGTGACATCAAAAGAGACCATTGTTTCATCAGTCTCCATGATGACATCCCTCACCTTATCCACAAAGTCCATGGTGTTCTGTATGTGGTGTTCTGAGCTGCCAACTAAAGGGATGAGTACAGACGCCAGATATTTGGAAACATTGTAAGTGACAGAGTTAATCATACTAACAATTGGTCTTAAAGGTACACCTTGTTTGTGGATTTTAGGTAAACCATACAGACTAGGTGTGGCCTCCCCTGGGTACAGTCTGTGGTACAGAATACGGTCAATACCCTTGTCCTGCTCCAAATTTTTCAGGCAATCTATTAACGGTTTCTTGTAACCACTTCCTGGATCTCTTTTCAGAGGTTCATAAGTGGTTAAGTCACTAAGGAGTGTCATAACTTTCTCATGATAGTCTTTCTGGTTCAAAATCACTGTGCACCTTCCTTTGCCTGCTGGGAGAATGATGATGTTTTTGTCTTTGCTAAGAGTGGTGAGTGCATCCCTCTCCTCTCTACTGATGTTGGAAGGTGGTGGTTTGGCATTGCTGAGGCAGGATAGAAATCGTCCATCATTAAACAGGGGTGGAGGCCTCCGGGTTCAACTGTCCCCCTCTTACAATGCTGTGATTGCTAGTATCACTCAGCCCTCTGTGAGTAGTAAACAGCCATCAGTGTGCTAATGATCCATTGTTAGGCTGATGGTCCTTCTTGAGCATGTGATCAGCTGGTTTTGGTTGTCAGCAGCAAACTGGTTGATCCACTCTGAGAAGGTGCTATTTAAGAGACCGAGCTGAATACAGCACCTCAGACTGAGGAAGTCTCTTGGATGAGAGACGAAACGTTTCTATATTTTTTTGCTTTGTTTTGTTTTTTGGGTTTTTTTTAATGTCCAGAGGACCAGATTGAACTTTTTTGGATTTTTCTACCTGGATTATTGAGCATGCATCAGGATATTTCAAATATTGAATATTTTAGAGGGTTTTTTTTTTTTGTTGTTTGTTTTTTTACTTTTACTCCACATCACATGATTATTCTGGCAGAAATATGACAAGTTTTAGGACAGTGGCAATCCACTTTGGTCTTAGTGCTGCTTGACAAGCAGTTAACTCAGTCAGATTCAACCTGATTCTCTAAATGTAAGTACAATAGTCCCTCGCTACTTCGCGGTTCGACTTTCGCAGACTCGCTCTTTCGCTGTTTTTTTAAAGTAAGATTGGACATGGCACACTGTTGGCTGATTGATGGATGAACTGCATGAGCCAATTGTGGGATTGCTTATTTAAAATACATTTTAAATTATTTATTTAGCACCTACTAAATCATTAGGCGCAGGGAAAAGCTCCGTTCTGCAGCCTGTCATGATCTCCTTCTCTGCCACACATTTCCCCTGCAGCAGCTTTGTGAAGGGTTAACTCTTTGCTGTCCTACTGCACTTCTCTACAATTTCTTTTTTTTCCCCTTTCTTTTGGCTGCTCCCTTCTTCAGGGGTCGCCACAGCGAATTAAGTCGCACGAAGACTTGGTGATTGTTTTTACGCAGGATATCCTTCCTGACACAACCACAGACCACCGAGCTACCAGCCCTCTGTGTGGAGCAGAGAGCTGCCATCTAGGATGCTCAGGGGAGCAGATGGTTGGGGGTTAAGGGCCTTGCTCAAGGGCCCAGAGTGGGGCAAATGAGGGTGGAGACAAGTGTGGGTGCTTCATCTTTTCCACCCACATTTTGATGTCGTCTGTCTGGGAGTTGAACCGGCAATCTTTCGATCACAGGCACACCTTCTCTAACCTCTGTGCCACCACTCCCTACAATTTAAAATTAAATACTGTAATATTTTAAATAAACAATTGTTTATTTAAAATTACAGTATTTAACTTTTTATTGTTTATTTACACAGGGAGGGAGATTGGAAGCAACAGGTGATGAGTGTGATTGCAGCCTGGCACGTCATGACAAAGTTTACTGAACTTGGACTACTGTATCCCTACTTTGCAGTTTTTCATTTATTGCGGGGGGGGGGGGGGGGGGGCAGGGTACAGAACCCCCGCAATAAACGAGGGACTACTGTTCTTTAAAAAACTATCTGCAGCAGGTAAATAGTTACTATTCACAGCCCTTCCACAAAACCCCACATAAAAATATACGAGCTATCCCTTTAAACACAACAAAAGGACATTGTTTATGGAGGCAAATGTTGAATGTAAACAAAATCCTGTTTGACTGTAAAGCAAAATTAAAACTTAGCTCTAAAATATGAAAAACTTATAAAATATAAATATATAAGATGAATAAAACAAGGTGGATAGATTAAAAAAAGGCGCTCCTCAGGGTGTTGAACTTTAGACAGATCTCGCGTACAGTTTTACACAACATTCCTATTTAACCAGAATAAAATGAAAGAGCAGTTTATGAAAAAGAAAATACACTTTTAGTGCTTAATTAAGAGTTGCAGTAGATTACAGCCAGTGTCTGCTAATCTGAGCATTTTAGATTATTTTAACTATTTTTTTCAGTATTTACACACACACTTTAATCCTCTATTGTTTGGAACCATCTCGTATTTCTACATTCCAGTAATGGTTGAACTCACCTTTGTTTATTTAGCCGTTAAACTCGTACTTTAAAAGAAAAAACTCCCAGCTACTTTTCTAAAATCTACACTTCAGCTCTCATGACTCCATACAGGCGACCCATTGATTCTGCAGTAAAGACGAGTGGAGACTTTACTGTTCGGATTTACTAAAACGTTTATTTCACCTGAATGTCCAGCTCAGTTTGTTCATGAAAACATGTAGCTTACGCCCCCATTTAAATGATTAGCTTCATAGACTTATTGAACTCAAAACAAGAATAAAAGTCGGGATACTTACAGCCAAACTGTGGAGGAGGTGGAAGCGACTAAAAGCAGAGCCACAGCTAAATGCCAGCAGAAACACATCGTGACGAACATAAGGTTGTCGTGTAGCTCCAAATCCCACACGTCTCCATTTAACGGGTAAAGGACAAATCCAATCTGAAAGGAGAAAACTGATAAGGAGCCAGCAGACTACAGTTTAAGTCAGGGCTATTCAACTGGCGGCCCGGGGGCCAAATCAGGCCCACAAGTGAGCTCAGTTCCGCCCACCAATGGGATAATTTTTAAATAAAACTAGATCTTAAATTGTAAAACAAACTTACTTAATGACAATAAGTGCTGAATGTCTGGCCCCTGAGCTCTTGGCTTTCAGTATCTGTGCCCCACTGAGCAACTTAGTTGAATTGCCCTGGTCTAGGTTTTAAAAGCAGAGGTTCAAGACAAAGACGGAAACTGCAGACTGAGCTGACCCATGGCTGGTTTTATCCTCCGAGAACATTTTTACTTTAACAAGGATTGTTTTCATTTTAAAGGTGAATATTTTGGACAACAAACTAAACGTCGGACAGTAAAACTTCAAAATGTTTGAGTTTATATCAACTTTGACACAAAGAAAATATTTAAGGGGCAGCCCCACCCCCACCCCCACCCCCCATCGTGGAGGGAACAGGGGAATTAGAAATACCCTCTATCTGTCCATGCATGTTGTGAGCATTATAACTTAAAAAAATGACTGAGGTACCAACTTCCATTTTGGTGTGTGACTGCATCTAGGTGCAAGAAAGGTCAAAAATTGGGTTGCCACATCAAAATCCAAGATGGCCACCACCATATATTTATGTAAACCGACCACCCCGATCATTTGAAGAGACTATGCTTTCTAGTTTTTATATCTCTTCAAAGTATAGTTTCCTCCAATGATTGGGGTGGCTGAAGCTTAATCTACAGGGGCCAAGGCCACCATTGGCCACCCCCTGATGCCATCATCACACCTGCAGGTGGATAAATGTGAATCTACAGAAAATTCACTTTTTCAGGGATGTTTGTGCAAATGTGAACGGTTATCATCTTACCTGTTGTAGATAGCTTTCTGATAAAGTTCCATTTGGAGAAACCGTTTGTTTCTGACCAGACTGGCGAGCTGAGATCCAAAGTGAATTTCTGCCGTCCCAAAAGGACTCCGGTCTTTAACTTGTCAAAGCAAGTCATACAAATGTAATTTATAAAGCTTTACATTGCTGTCAGTTTTGTATTTCACAGGTATTTACATAGAGTTCTGCAGTTCTTTGCAAACCTCACACTCCCATCAGATGATCATATTTTATTTTATGGAATATCAAGCTGATGGCAATGTCAAGCTTTATAAAACAGCAATAGCATGAACCGCTAAAAATATTTTAGGATGTAATCCACTTTGCTCTTGGCTCCATTTGGACTAGCCCTCAGCTCATCAGTCTGTCCAGACTAACCAGTTTCTTCAAACTGAGCTCATTCAGCCATCCACAACAGGTAAGATATTTATGTTCATGACCTCAGTACAAATAGCTCCTTCACTTAATTTCTTTTTCAAGTTGAAAGGTTAGAAACAACTCAGTGGTTCCAGGAACAGGTCTGGTTGGTTTGTTGTCTCACCTGGTAGAACCACGAGCCCTGCAGGATGAACAGGCCCGCCCGGGTCAGCTCCAGAATAAAGTTGTTACTGACAAACACTTCCAGCATGGAGCTGGCCGAGCCACCGAACACAGCCACCAGCAGCAGGGTGTGGATGTGAGCATCCAGAGGTTTCCGGCCGTGCACGTGGAAATAAAACAGAAACCCTGGAGTAAGAGAGAGATCACAAACTGCTGCATCAGTGGGACATTTTATGATATTTTAAAACTAAATCCAAGATGTGTTTCTTGTTCACCTTCAACAAAAAGGGCCAAGGAGATAGTAAGTCGGTCCACCCCTGCTGGCACGTTTTTGGATAAAGCACAAGCAATCATTGCTATTCCTGAAATACCAAAGAACAAATACATGGTGCTGTGCTGCCAGTTCATCAGCTTGACCCAGGAAGTCTCCTCCCTGTTGTAGAGGCGGGCGTGGGGGCCGTCCACCACAAACTGCTCAACCATAATACCTGCAACCGCACCACATCACACAAAATCAGGCAATCGAGCAGCAGGTTCTGGTGTCCAAGATGGATGTGAGAGGTAACCGACCCACAAAGGAAGCGAAGATTTGAAGTCCTCCTTCAAAGTACTCCATTTTCTTAAAGAAAGGAGGCGTGACTTGTCTCCCTTTGGGCTGCCTCGTCCTCCAGTAGTGCTGGATATTGTGTTTCACCACCAGCCAAAAGCCATAAAACAAGAAAAAGGTGCCAGGAATCGCGTGCCCTCCAAAGTTGGCCATCGTTTGGCCTGAAAATGAGAAATACACACAGTGGAGACAAGTCCTTTTAGAGATTTAATTATAGGATTTTCAACTTTGAGGTCAAAGTGCAGGTTCAGAACTTTGTTGTATGTCATGACATGTGATGATTCACAGCAATAAACAGATCAGATGTTTTTCTGTGGAAAAGTTACGCATTTGTCTTAAAAAAATTCAAGCAACAAAGTAAACATATCAAAATGTTAAAACTAAAAAAATTGAACCATTCTTTTTTTTTTTTTTAATGAGGTGGTTTTCACTTTTTTTGGGGGGGGTTGCAGCATCTCAAAGAGGTCGAAAGGGCAACAAAATGCTGGAAAAGTTAGTGGTTCAAATAAAAATAAAAAAAAGTTGGAGGAGCATTTTTCATCCAGCTAGGTTAAATGTGAACATGTCAGTAAGAGGATTGGGTATAAAGAGAGACATTTAGAGGGGCAGAGGTTCACCAGGCTGCAACAAACAGTGTGTAAATATAAAAAATGGCAGAATAATGTTCCTGAAGGGAAAAGACACAAAGCTGAAAAAAACAATCAGGTTGAGGGAGTCCTCAGATATCAGAGTGTTGTTCTGTTAAATCCATCTGGAATATTGGAAATTTAGCAACTTTGTTTTTATAATACGTTCATTTCATTTCTTCAGCTGTGATTGCTGAAGTTAGGAAGACAAACTATTGTATTTTCCAGCATATAAGTTGCTCCGGAGTATAAGTTGCATCAGTCAAAAAAAGCATCATGACGAGGAAAAAAAAACGTATATAAGTCGCATTTATTATGCGTCACCGCTGACCCTTCGCATTTATTATGAGTTTATTTGATCGTCAAAACAGCTTCATTTCACCTGGGCGATTCGGTACTATCCATCCATCCATCGCGGCCGGAGCCACTAGCTCTCTAGCGTTCCTCCGCCTGCAGCAGCTGAGCAAAACGAGTGCGCACAGGAGGACTCGCTGTTGCAGTTCTTCGAAATTTAAAACATAAGTCAAAAATTGCGTTATGAATATGGAAATAAAAACGTACTGCCTATAAGTTGCTTCGGCGTATAAGTCTCAGGACTGACAAATCTATGCAAAAAACTGTGACTTGTACGCCGGAAAATATGATAAATCTAAGCCATATTTACTGCATGGCCGTAACAAAAATGTGGTCAGGAAAAATGCATAATTACTAAAAAAAACTACTTCCTGAACTTAATATTGCAAATTAATATCTTCTGCAGTGGGTAGTAAAAAGAAAAGCTGAACAACAAAAAACTACAGTTACAACACCTGAAGTGATCCTTGCTGTGGTTCAAAAGCATCTAATCAGATGATGAGTCATTAATAAATCAAGTTTTTGAGCATAGTGGTTCAAATTCAGTAGATGAATTCTGGCCATCAAGCATTTTACAATCAGCAGGGACTGAAAATAACCATCAGGTTTGTTATGAAAGTGACTGTGTTCTCGTTGCATTAATAATTTACTGTAAGAATGTGGTCATGAATGTATAATGCAGCCACTTCAGCCTCTCTGCAGGTCAAACATCTGCACATGTACCACGTACTCGAGAGCTACAGGGGCAAAAAGAAAAAATGTGTACAATCACATGACAGATGTAAAAATGCTGGGATGAACACCTCCAATTTTTGGCTGCAATATGACTGTTTTTATTCATTCCAACTGAAAATATTGAACACTACCATTTTCAGCAGCTAGATGGTAAAACTGGCTGTTAATGACCCAATCGGCTTGCCACAGTCTACCACCTTTATCCAGCTCTAGGATCATGCCTGGAGAAAACGTCAAATCATCTTCATTTCGCTGCGCCGCCCTGGCGAAATGCAGCTGATTTGACCATTAAAGTGCATTTATTAAGGAAAAGTATAACTGAGACACATCTTTGCTATAAAATCAAGTACAAACCGGATTCCAAAAAAGTTGGGACACTAAACAAATTGTGAATTAAAACTGAATGCATTGATGTGGAGATGGCAAATGTCAATATTTTATTCGTAATATAACATGGATGACAGATCAAAAGTTTAATCTGAGTAAATGTAACATTTTAAAGGAAAAATATGTTGATTCAAAATTTCACAGTGTCAACAAATCCCAAAAAAGTTGGGACAAGTAGCAATAAGTGGCTGGAAAAAGGAAATTGAGCATATAACGAACAGCTGGAAGACCAATTAACACTAATTAGGTCAACTGACAACAGGATTGGGTATAAAAAGAGCTTCTCAGAGTGTCAGTGTCTCTCAGAAGCCAAGATGGTAAGAGGATCACCAATTCCACCATTATTGCACAGAAAACAGTGCAGCAATACCAGAATGGTGTTACCATAGGCGTAGCCAGGATTTTATGAGGGGCGGTTCGTTTGAAGAAAAAGTGGACCTGTAGGACTACTCTGATTGGTTCATTGGCGGTGGTACACATAACTTCAAATGTGTAAACAAGCTAATTAGCTAGCTAGTTAAAACACTGCTGTGTGAGGTAAATCTGTGTTACCAAATAGGCGGTTGTGAGTGGAGAAAGAGCAACACACTGAGAGGGGAATAGCGTGTGTGTCCAGTCTTCTATTCAGAACTCATCCCAGACACGAACGAACACTTCGGTACTCCCGAGTCCCGCCCGAACATACACAAAAAAAAAAAAAAAAACACCGAAGAAGAATGAAAGACGTCATCCTCTTAAAGGCACAGTACCACTCCTTAACTCTAACAACATAAATGCAAACTAAGCCCGCAAATAATAACATTACTTCAATTGCAAAAATAACTCATCTTTTTACTTTGCTTTGTTAGACATTGTTTTTTATGAATGAAATTACTTCACCTCGCAGTTCTATATCTCGCGGGAGTTGTAGGTGGGACTTCATTGGCAAAGTGGGCGGTTCGTTCGAACCCCCCGAACCCCCCCTGGCTACGCGCATGGTTACCCAGCGTAAAATAGCAAAGACTTTTAAGTTATCATCATCAACCGTGCATAACATCATCAAAAGATTCAGAGAATCTGGAACAATCGCTGTGCGTAAGGGTCAAGGCCGTAAAACTCTACTGGATGCTCGTGATCTCCGGGCCCTTAAACGTCACTGCACCTCAAACAGGAATGCCACTGTCAAAGAAATAACAGAATGGGCTCAGGATTACTTCCAGAAAGCATTGTCAGTGAACACAATCCACCGTGCCATCCGCCGTTGCCAGCTGAAACTCTACAGTGCAAAGAGGAAGCCATTTCTGAGCAAGCTCCACAAGCTCAGACGCTTGCACTGGGCCAGGGGTCATTTAAAATGGAGTGTGGCAAAATGGAAGACTGTTCTGTGGTCAGATGAGTCACGATTTGAAGTTCTTTATGGAACACTGGGACGCCATGTCATCCGGACCAGAGAGGACAAGGATAGCCCAAGTTGTTATCAACGCTCCGTTCAGAAGCCTGCATCACTGATGGTATGGGGTTGCATGAGCGCTTGTGGCATGGGCAGCTTGCATGTCTGGAAAGGCACCATTAATGCAGAGAACTATGTTCAGGTTCTAAAACAACATATGCTCCCATCTAGATGTGATCTCTTTCAGGGAAGACCCTGCATTTTTCAACACGATAATGCCAGACCACATTCTGCAGCAATCACAGCATCATGGCTACGTAGGAGAAGGATCCAGGTACTGAAATGGCCAGTCTGCAGTCCAGATCTTTCACCTATAGAGAACATTTGGCACATCATAAAGAGGAAGGTGCGACAAAGAAGGCCCAAGACGATTGAACAGTTAGAGGCCTGTTTTAGACATGAATGGGAGAACATTCCTATTTCTAAACTTGAGAAACTGGTCTCCTCTGTCCCCAGACGTCTGTTGAGTGTTGTAAGAAGAAGGGGGGATGCAACACAGTGGTAACAATGGACTTGTCCCAACTTTTTGGGGATTTGTTGACGCCATGAAATTTGGAAACAACAGATTTTTCCCTTAAAATGATACATACTCTCAGTTTAAACTTTTGATGTGTGATTTGTATTCTATTCTGAATAAAATATTAGATGTTGGCACCTCCACATCATTGCATTCAGTTTTTATTCACAATTTGTTTAGTGTCCCAACTTTTTTGGAATCCAGATTGTAAATAAATAATTGTTTTAGGTGCTTTTCTTGTTAAATTTCGAAAAAATGTGCAGCTTTCCTCCTTCCTGATTTCCTCCCTCTGTGTGCTCCCAGAGCACCAAGGCAACCAATACTTTTGAAGTACAGCTGATTTTCACATTACAGTGCATTTATTAAGTAAAAGTTCAACTGAGACACACCTTTGCTATAAAGTCCATCCATCCATCCATCCATCCATTATCTTTACCCGCTTATTCCATTTTGGGTCACGGGGGTCGCTGGTGCCCATGTCCAGCAATTTTGCTATAAAGTTGAGCTAGCAAAATGTTTTTAGGTGCTTATCTTGTTAAATTTGGAAGAAATGCACAGCGAGCTGTCCTCTGCGCACTCCTTTCGTGTATTGGCTTTTGAAATGCAGCTGATATCACCATTAAAGGGCATTTATTAAGCAAAAATTCAACTAAGACACACCTTTACTATAATTTCGAGCAAACAAATAATTATTTTTAAGTGTTAATCTTGTTAAATTCTTGTTAAAGTCCTCCCGTGCACACTCCCGTGGCCGCCATTTGGCAGCCAATCGATTTTTGGCACAACACCGGCCCACATTTCCAGGTGGTCAGTGATGACGAGTAACAAACGTGACGCGTCAGCGATGACACATAATACATATGGCTTATACAGCGAAGCGATGTGTTTATGTATTTTTCCACTTTATTAAACATATTTGGACAGATGCGACTTATAGGGCAGTGCGATGTGTACGGCGGAAAATATGGTACTGCTTATAGTCACTCAATTTAAAAACAAATATTCTAGGGGTCTTTTGCTTCTTGAGCCAACAAGGACCTGGAAACATCTGGTTTAAAGGAGTTCTGTGTTCTACAAGAACTATTCACAGTTTTCCATTTGAAAAATCATCACAGGTTTTAAATGTTAAAACTGATGAATGCAGCAGCAAAGAAAACGCAGAAAAGAGAAGGAAAATAATATTAGAGTGAACAAATCAGAGAGAGAGTTGATGTGAGGATTTGTTCTCGTTTCTAATTGTGTTTTACAAACTTTTATTATCAGTAGAAAGTGCCGAGAGACACTTTGCTCAAGATAAATCGAATAAAATAAAAAGATATTGTGTAGATAAAAACATATTTGTGATTGGTTTTACTGGACAATGTAAATGTATGAAGATAAAAGTTTAATAAATTTACGCTTCCTAGAAAACAAAAAACAAAAATCACTTTCAATAAATCTCTACGCACATTTATGACTTTGTTTTGATAAATTACATGCAGATGTATTTCTCTAAA